TGCACAAGGGAGTGTGTAACCAAGGCCCAAAATCACTGATTGTGACTAGATTGTGACTGGAGGCATTCAGTGCATTTTTATTTTACTTAGTGTGACAGATTTACTTGGACACAGGTAAAGGTAAAACTGTTCTGAGTGCAATAATTTAACCTGAATTTGTTTCCAGTTTTACCTCTACGTTCTTATTAAATGCTGATTTAGATTCAGTAAACAGTATTTTGAACCTCTATGGTTGCAAAAGCCTTTAGAAATCTAACTGTTGTCATTTTAGCAACAAAGAAAGAAGGTAATCTGCAGAGATCAACTCACAGCTTCCAGACGTCATCCCACATGCAGAATAGTCTTTCCCCTCTGTAGAAACCAACATTTCAATATAATAATCCTACTAAGTCATCTTTCTGCTTTGGGATGCTGCCAACATTGGTTTGGTCAGTTCCAGTAAAAGAGAAAAATGGCCAAGGTGTTACTGTTCTAATTTCTGCAGTACGTTTTCATGGACATGTTTATGCTTTCATTTTAGTTCAGTGTTGTTTTGTAAAATGGAAAGAATCTTTAAGTAAGTGCTGTCTGCAGAGAAAAATGGAAATGTATGCAAAGTACTCTGTGTTTGCAAAGTACACTAGCCCTGAATAAAACAATTTGCAATTCATCTCTTTGTTCTTGGGGACTTTGTGTGTACAGATTTATCACCTTACCCTTGTGGAATTAAGTTACATGTACTGCTATTACACCTAATAACATGTCACTCTCACCACTTCTGTTCCATGGTAAGGAACCATGTTGAGACCTTGCATCTATTTCTGGTTTTGCTTAGTGGTAAGTATTTTAATGAGCTAAATCTGTATATAGATATTAAGATACAGTTCTGCACAAAGCCACTTTATTTTGTTAGGGTGAAACAAGTAATCAATTTTGCTAAAACCATATATTTAAGGAGTTAGCAAGCTGATAATAAATACCACCCAAATTCTTAAAGCATTCTTGCTGCATGTTTTTCATCTCCTCAGTGGTTACAGAAGCAGGGTACGTCTAAAATATGTATTTTGTATTAAAGTTGTAAAGAAATGAACCAGGACTCTTTTGTCCTGGTACAAACAGTGTCTGTAACCTAAGTAAAATTGCAGGAATACAAGATAATTCTGAAGTAGTATCAACTTGATACAGAACCTTTCCAACTCTTAGTACATGGCCATTTTGATTATACTGATGTTCCTTAAATAATTCTATATAAAGTGCACATAGATATTGAAATGATATGTTATCATGTCCCACTTTAATTTAGCTTTCCTTCTTGCTGCACCTGCACATAACAACTCTCAACAGCATGTAGATGATTCTTCCTGTTGGGTGTGGAAACATAAACCACAAACTGGGTAAGTGGGATTAAACTCTGAGCTCTCTAAACCACCAAGTGGGTCACACTAAGCAGCTGTGGTATGGCAGATATAGCCTCTGGGGGCAAATGTACTTCTCTAAACCCAGTGTGGAGTTCCTCCAGATTCTGTAAAATAGAGACCCTTAGAACAGGCTTGCAGGCATGCCCACTGTTCCTCTTCTCCATGCAGGCACCCGTTTTTGCCTGTTGTCTTTGAAGCACAGTATTACTTTGGTTTCTTTATTGATGCAACACCGCCATGAGAAATGTTTTACTACTATTTTTATTAGTGCAAAAATAGCTCAAGAACAGGCGAAAACTCTGCTTAGTTATCAGAAGTAAACTCTATAAACATCTAGCTTAGAAGCTAACACAACCACTCTAATAAACTGCTTTTGGCTTATTTCCATGATAGAGCAAAATAAATTTTAGTTAAAGCACTCTACTTATTACAGACCTCCTCCTTCTCCTGTATGTAGCAAATACACAAGGCAGACCAAGTTTATCTGCTTGAAAAAACCTGACAGTTTTTTTCCCCAGGTATGTGTCTTGATTTTCAGACTGCATTTCCATGTGTGCATTATCATCACGAGAAAGGTGCCAGGCCAGCCATGAAGCTACAGGTGAGCAACACACTGGTATACATTATGCAATTCTAGATGGGGGAAAAAAGTTCTTACTCAAAGGCAAAGCTAGGACAAATACCACCTTCAGCATATCGTTAGTGGTAGTGCAAGACTGGTCACTACCCAGCCAGGACTGGCTCTGCAGCAGAAAGCTGTATGTGCTATCCCTTTCTTCCTAAATGAAGTCACTGGTTGACATTTTCTTACCTGTTCCTTTATTTTAATTCAGGTTTTTTGCTAGGCAAATAGCTGTGGGCCTGAATTCAGCATTTGTCTTGGAACAGAAAGCAGAACCTCCACTACCTGGATTTAAGTAAAGCAAAAGCTGAAGCCTAGAAGTGCTGGCTGAAGCCAGTCACTGAACTTCGAGAGCACTGGTGCAAAACAGACTCATCCTGAGGTAGTAGTGGTTTTAAATGACACTATAAAGGAGATGTTTCCTCAAAAACCCTGCAGGAAGTGGTTCAGCATCTCCCTTGTCCCAGGTATGGGAATGGATTCATAGCAACCCCTTAAGCAGGAGCCTTTCCATAATTTTCATTTCCCCTCAGGAGTTGCCCAAAATATAGTGGAACCAGCTGCTGGTTTAAGTGCATTTTCTGCTGGAGGCAGCTGCTTTCAGGTAGGAAAATGAGGATGCCTTAAAAGAGCAAGAAATTTAGTAGTTCGATTGGCATGTTCTTATTAAAAACAAGAGGTAATTCAGCAGAACGAGTGACGTGGTTAAGTAGAGACAGTAACCTAATTCTGGGGGCTGGGGTTCCCCTGCAAGTTGGCCACTATTACAGTAAGGCAGGCATAGACACAAGAAATGGTCACCTTGTTCTGCTTAAAAACCAAAGTTACGCTGGAAGTTCACACTGTCTCCCATAACAGATGGCACAGCCAGTAATAAAATACATGATGGTTTTCCACTATCTTTTTATAACTTCAAGCAAGACACCGATAGACTGCTTTGGACCCCTGAATTCTGAACATAACATACACAATTGCAGTCTCACGTTTTGTGCTCTTATTTAAAAGCCAGTGAAAGTGCAGATTGTCTGAAAAAGCAAAAGTTAGAAATTTCGTTCAGACTGATGTATAATAAACCCAATAAGCACATGATTAAAATTGCCTTGCTTTCTATAATTGAGGAAGCCTAGATCCATACATTTAGTGCTGCTGTCCACAAAGCGTTTACCTTCATTTGCAGGTAACAGCTGCTGCTTGAAAATGCAGCTGCCAGAGCCTAGATAAAATATAGAGGATGTTCAACACTATTCATTATTATAATGATGATGCTAATATTTAAGAAACTAGTTTCTGAGTTTAAAAGTCTACCCTCATCAAATTTGTAGGCATACCAGTAGTGTTTCTTCAAAGTAAAACACCATCACTTCGTACCACTCACTGAGTGCAAAATGTCAAGATTTTACAGAACACCAAAATCCTTTTGAATCACTGAGATGTAGCTAAAAATAAGTTTATAAAATCAGCTTTTAAAAAAAATTTACTAAGTGTCAACAAGTTTCAGGCACTGCCTATGTAGTTTCAATCTTTGAAGCAGGCTGTCTCTTGCCTTGTAGAAAACATTGTAAAGGTGTCAAAAACTTACTGCTTAGCTGAAGTGAGGGCTCAGCTCTGGTGTATGCAGTTGACAACTTGTACTACAAGTGCCCATAAATCAAATTTCTTAAATATTTTGTATTTTATATCAAGTAAAAAGATGTGGAAAGTGGAAAGAAATTTGCCTGTTGAATTTTCATTCCTTCTATTACTTCAGTTTTAATCTTTGAATTTTATAGATCTGGATGTATATTTGTCTATGTGTACTTTTTTGCTGGCAGCAGGTTGAAATCCAAGACCAATTCCTCTATGTTGCTTCAAGTCCATTGCTTTATCAAATTCCATCTTCAGAGCCTGCTGTAACTTCTCCTCCCCTTCCCTGTTCAGAGCCATGTTTGGTTTGTTTGTAGTTGCTGAGAGATTTTGGATAGGCACAGAGCCCTTTTTAAAGCCACCCATCAGTCTAAAAAACTTCATTTGTTGCTCAGAACTTTGAAAAGCAGCTGTACTCCACTGGCCAAACTTTGTACCCTGTGAAGCAAAACAAGGTTAGTGCTAAAATTAAGTAATACCAAGATCAAGGACAACAGTTTCTGGCTGTGTACCATGAGAACAGAACCAACTACAACAATAGGGTGAGAAAGAGTTATTTCACAGGTCGTATCTCTTGAAGGGTGTGATAAAAGAATGACACAACCCTGCATGAGTGCATCTTCATTAGCACTGCAGTTCATTTAAGCTGGAGACAAGGTTTAATGCACTTTGAGAATCTCCTTTCCCTCTGTCTTAGGAATCTTGGCTTTTCTGCACTCTGGATAATGCTGAAAGCGCCAGACGTTGCCCAATCATTCCTTTTATTCTAAGACAATTGACAGGCATAATCCTCTTTCACTCTGTCACTTCATACAGTTATCTTCTCATTTTCCTGTTGCCTAGTTAGGTACCTGCGGGTTTTAGCTGTGTTTTGTTACCTTAGTTTTGGAGACAGTGTTCAATCCGGCTCTCAAGCTTTGAGTAATATTTGCAGTCTCATCCCACTTCTCACAAGGGTGCAAATCTAAGGGCGAACCCTTATCTGATAGGACTAAATATAGTACTCTGAAAACCTCCCCTCCCGTGCAGCTTGCTCTACTACTTGTATTCACCTCTCGCTGTATTCTTTGAACTAGTTTACTCCTTCAGGATTTTTGTTTTGTGTACAGCTGTCTTCCTTCTGAGAGAACAGCCAATGTACAAGTAAAATGAGAATTCAGCCATTTGTGGATAACCAAAGACACATCATATGATTTATAAAGTTCATGAACTTTCGGCTTACCTACTTTCGGCTTCATTATCTAAGGATCTTATTTGACTCCCAAGCTATATGTAGGAGCTCTGGAGTAATTTATAACTGTTTCTGGCAGGACTGCTACTCCCAATTTTTCCTTTAAAATTGGGGGTGATATTAAATAGACTGAGCTGGCTACATCAAAGGAAAAAACGTGAATTTAGTGGTGTGTTTAATGTAAGGCTGAAATCCTTCCAACTGAACAGTTACAGCTTGCACGAAACAGTCATTCTCCACTCGACAGCCAACATGACACACAGCATGCTACACAATATTGCAGGCAAGCTGTAGCAGGTTTTTTAAGCTAAAAAAAATGCAAGGCTGGAGTATCATTCTCTATCAGAGGCCAGAATACCTGCTGTTAAAAGAAAGCTATCCATAATACTTCAGTATTTTTACCTTGCTCAAAGACAAATTGCTGTATAAGCCGAGCTCTGTGACAGACACGTGCACATACACATAAATACGTGTCCTCCCTTTGGAACGGGAGACATCTGCACAGATGCAGAAATAATTATGGCTTGTCAAACTCTGTAATTTCTTTTAAGTGAAGCACTGGCAGGCTCTACACATAGCTTTTGCTGCAGCATTTCCAGCTCACTCTGTGAAGCTGATGAATTAATTTTCTATTCTTCTGTGTACTACTAAACAGAGACAGAGCTCCACAGAACGGAGATCCCCTGCCAAGGATGTCATTTTTCTCAATGACTTCAAAGGCTATTAGATAGTTGCAGTTCCAGAGCTATTGCAGTCTGCCTCCCACCATGTAAAAACCTACAGGAGTTGTTTCTGGCATTTCAGTGAGGTATATTCCAACTTTCTAGGCATACTGGCACTCTTGTGAGAAACAACTAAGAATACTGAATTACAAACAAAGCTTTTTCTCCTCCTAAATCTTATTACTCCTACTACACTACTGCAACAGTTTCTACTACCTTAATGTATACCTGTCAGGAGGCAGGCTGAGTAGGATGCAAAAGCAAAGAATAATCTTTCAAAAAAGCAGAAGAAAGATGTAAAAGTTAGGAGAGGACTGACTGTAAATATCACACACGTCTTATCAGTTGTCATCCCTTTTACCTTTCTATGTTCACCCATTTCTCAATGTCTTCCACATAACAATTCAGATGCAATTCAGTGACTGCTGTATCCATAGTCTAGAATTATTTGTATTTCATAGTCAGCATAAAACGCTTCTGCAGCATTTTGACATTCTCCAGAGGAACCAGAGAAAACGCTGCTTTTGAGGACTGATGCTGGCATTACAGCACTGTACAATGCCAACTGCTGTTGGAGCTCACTGGTCAGCTCCCAGACTCTCCTGGGATTGTACTAACTTCTTCTATAGCATGGCCTTAAATTTACAGTCAAAAGGAAGAATGTTGTGGCAAGCCATGTACCTGAGCCTCATACAAAGAGCGAGTGCTTTTTTCAGGAACTTGCTCTGGGGCACAGTATTTCTGTCAGATCAAGGTCTAAGTTCATACATACCTTTTCCACTTCGGGACTGAAAACCTTAGTTTTGCCAGATTCTCTATCAATTTCTTCTTGCAGAGCCTGCCGCCTCACCTAGCATGCAGAAAAAACAGCACAAGACACTATCTTCTGCATGTTAAATGAGTTAATGTCATTCACAAGGAAAAGGGAAGGCTAAAATAATTAGTTCTCTTCAGAATTTTGCAAGGATAGTTGCATGTGATCCATTTACACGCTCAACATGAGAACTGTGATTTTTCTAGTGGTATTTTAAATGAACATTTTCCTGTATCAGATATATTTTGTCTTCTAACTGCAGGTAACAGCTACACTGAAACTGCCAAGGTTAATGGGAAGCAAAGAAACCCGTATTTAACTTAATAAGCTACTCAGACGTTGACTGAAGCTGTGGACTTAACGCATGGAAGGTAAAACACTTTAAGCAGAGCTCTATCTAGGGAAATCTTGGCACAGACAAGCAACAAAGGTGTTTTGTTACGAATTCTATCCATACATTAAATGCTGAATTGCTTTAATAAGACAAAGCATACCTTGTCTATGTTAACTTCATCACAGTTTCCTTTCTTTTCCTTCACAATAGTTACATCATCCCCATATTCCTGCAAAACAGAAAAAAGCTTGTATGAATGTTTTTATCTATTCTGGTTAATAAGCATTTACATAACTCTGACTACAAAAGTAGTAAAACCACCAAGCAATAAAGTAGTACTATTGTGAGGCAAGATATAGTCAAATCTAAGCTGGAAATGTCAATTAAAGCTGTGTATTTCTATGGAGAGATTGTCTCCCCAAGCAAGAGATACTTTTTTTCCCCCCCTCCTTTCAAACAAAGAGGATAAGGGATTTCTTTAAATTCACACATTAAAATGGACCTGCCAACATCACTGGCACATACAGTAATGTTTGCAGACAGGGTCATTTCAAATAAAACCATTTCATAAAAGTTCATATTTCAAGTAGGGAACAGAGTAGAAGTTAAAGTAAGTTTAAAAACCTGGAAAGAGCACAGGGAGAGGTGCACACATACATAAAGTGTCTCCTACAATGGCAGCAAACAGCACATTGGTTCCACATTCGGGAGTGAGGAATGAGGGGCTGATGTGGAGACAGAGCAGGTATGGCTGGGCAGGACAGCACAAGGTAAATCGTGTCAAGGCCCCCAAGCAGACAAATACTTAGAACTTCTCTGAAGTGCAGTTCTTCAGTAGGTTCTGCTCCCATTGACTGGCACTTCTAGATCACTGCCCTCAGCCTTTCTTTTACGAAGGTGAGATTTTGGGGCATCCAGTGTAACGGGATAAGTAATAAGTCCAGGACAGGGGTAAATTAGAGCCATAAGCTTTAGACCAGCCTGGAAAAGGTGGCCAAAGGGAAGATCTATTGATACAGCTAACATAACAATCCAAGCATGAAACAGCCAGGGAACACTAAGACAAGGAAAAGATTTGTAACATACTTCTGTCAGCAAAAGCTGTTGTTACTTTTTTTAGGGTTTATAGTTTTATTTAAAGCCATGAATGATTTAGCTCATTTTCCAAAGCCACCTTTTATGTACTGATTTCACACACACACACAAGTACATGCACCATTAAAAATGCGAGAACACTGCAATAAGGAGAGCTCATTCCCTTGGATGAAAAAGAAAAACCAAAAGCCCAATTTACTTCTAGATGGCCTGGTACTGTCTTTTCAGATCTATTAAAACAAGCAGAACTGATGTGACAGGATTCTGCAAACAGCTGCAATGTTACTTTTTTTTCTAGCTGGAAGGTCAAGTGGAAGACGAGGAAGGAGGAAGGGTGCATCCCCATCCCTGCCAATTCACAGCCTGTCGCTGGCCTGCTGCAGGGCAAAAATTACCCCTCCAGGAGTGGAAGTCTTCCCCCCACTTCATGAAGGGGAGCACGTTCACAAGTGGTAGGATTATGCTATCTGCAGGCAAAAAACTTCAAAGAGGTAAACCGAGTCCTCGCTCTGCCTAAGTTGACTGTAATGGCCTCCAGTGGAAAAAACGGTGATCATTAAGTGGGTGTCACTCCACATTGTCTTGGAAAACTCATTTTTTACTTGCTGCACAAGCCCAGCAGAGGATTTTTCAAGGCATGCTGCAGCGTGTGTGACATATTGTAAACAAGAAAATGTGTTAGGACTATGGCACAGTTAAATGCAAGACTGACATTATCAGCCATTTGCTACAGCAGCGTCTTTTGGCCTGGCAGGAACTACATTTCTCTAGAACTGATTTACTGAGACTTCTCAATCTTCAGGAGAATTTCCCTGAAGTACTTCTTCTTATTATAGGGCAGAGCTGAATATGGGAAAGAGAAACAAAACATATATCACCCTACGCCCTTCTCCTCAACTGTTTGCAAGGTATTTGCTGTGTTTTCCGTTGTAATTCATCATGAGATTTTACTTGTTGTTAGGCTTATCTTGCCTCCACAGAATGTGAGCAGCTACAAGAATCTAAATAATGTCTAACAGTTTCAGAAAGCCAATGTCAATTTAATTAGAAAAATATATCCCAGCAATAAAACCACCTTGTCCTTTGAATGGTCACAAAGAGAAACCTAAGGACAAAGCCCCAAACATCTGCTCACCTGGTGACTGAGAAGCATACACACTTCCAACACAAACCTTTGTGGAAAAGCCTCTATCTGGGTCTCCATGAAAACTGAAGAACCTGTTTATATAAATCTGTATTTAATTATTAGCCAGATACCAGAAAGCTGTCGGGTTTCCATAGAACATGAAGAAACTGCATGCAGGAGTGCATAACAAAGCAAAGCACACCATGAAGCGGGCTTGAGAGGCAGCCAGCGCTGCAGCCCACCCTATCCCATTCACAGAAATCTTTATTTACTAGATCTTGAAGCAAGCCAAATATCCAAAGTTCTTGATAAAAAACAACTGGAGCACAGTTTCCCATTACCTCTGAAAATCAAAGCAAGCTCCTACTCACTTGCAGTGAGCCACTTTCAAAGTTAAGTAGTAAAAATACAGACAGGTACCTATTGAATTTCTGAACATCTCACAGCTTAATCCTCAACGGTAACAACAGAGGTTAGGCATGTAGGTACTAACTTTAGGCACTTAAATAACTCTAAAATAATATCCTAATCAGATTAAAAAAAGAGAAGTTAAAAAAAAGAAAGTTAAAGCAATAAAACAAGATCTTAATACCCCCTTTTTTTGGGGGGGGGGAGGGGAAATTGGGGGAAGGAATCAAAGAAGAAATCTCTATATTTCAAATCTTTCATCAGTTCCTCTCCATGTTTGTTTCACCTCAGAAATGGCAGTACTGCAAGACTCTAGGATGGGATTTCCTTTAACAGCCAGTCTGGATATAATTCCAGTTACTTTCAGGTATAATTTCTACAGTTCTTGTATCTACTTATTGTCTTGCATAGATTTTTTTTTTTTTTAATTAAGAATTTGAGTTCAGGTTGTTCTCTAGTATTTTTCTATTGGAATTCATACGTCAGTGCTCTATGCTTAGTCTACACTTAGGACTCTTAGGAATTTCTCTAAAGTTTTGTCCAAGTTAGACAACAGGTTTTGGCTGAATTCCCCCCTTGTTTCTAACAATGCAATTCCAGCATCAACAGCAGCAAAAGCTTAAGGAAAAGTCTAACACAGTTAGATACACTCATGCTGCCAATGTTACCAATCTGCTCAGGTTAAATGACATCGTATTAAAATCCTGGTTTACAGGAGTGTTGCCACTTTGCCAAGAGCAACGGGAAGAGGGACAGAACAACACTGATGTCTGTACATACTAGTTTTCTTTTTTGTAGTATTTACATTTTCACAGCCAAAACACTCGATCACTACAACAGCTGGCATTAAAAAGCATTTGTTTCACAACTGTTACATGCTGAAATCAACAGATCAGCTGATCCTGCTTCTCAAACCCCAGAGGAAGCCCCTAATGACCTAAATGTATCCCAACAGTCTGAACAGGCAGAGCAGCCTGCAGGAGGAAACTGCCTGCCTACAAAGCTTTCAATTCCTCAGCAGAGACATCCTCTTCTTTACAACTTACCAGTGCCTCATTTCCCACATCTTCTCCTTTGATCTTTTTTGTGTTTGCTTTTGAACCTGGTTCTTCAGCAGAGTCCTGGGGTGGTTCTTTTTTTCTTTTCTGCCTTTTTCTGTCACAGTGTGTGTGGTTACTGTTGCATAATACCCCATCTACAGTGTCTCCTGTGACACATTCCTCTTGCTTCATTTCCCTCTCCTGATTCTTTTTAGTGCTTTCCAGTAGTGGTATTTTTTGGCTTTTCGATGCACTGTCGTTTTTTAGCACAACTTTTGAATCCTCCTCTTTCCGAATCTTCTTCTTCTTCTTTTTCTTCTTGATGACTTCATGATTATCATTTATAATCTTCCTGCTTTTTCTCCCAGAAAGCTCTTCTTCCTCAGACTCAATTTCTTGCTGTGCTGGGAGATGCTCATCAGGAACTCTGTGACTGTAGTCTTTATTATCTTTATGTGTTAAGGAAGAAGTATCTTTTCTTCTCTTCTTCTTCCTCTTGGTCTCTCTGCTACTTCCAGAGTTCTCAGCAGTGTCCTCTTCCTCTCTATTTGTCAGTGTAATTTCCAAGGAATCATTTCTTTGCCTTTTTCCAAAGTCACTTAATGCAGTGGGGCTATCGGGAACTCCACAGATACTGTCCTGGTTATCTACTAGTGGTAAAAAAGAGTCAGGGTTATTTTTCTTTTTCTTCCTCTTTTTTCTTTTCACATAACTCTCCCCATCATTCTGGGTAATATCTGTTCCATGGAGTTTGCCTGGAAAAGGTTTTTCTTGTGAAATATATTTCTGTAGGGTTTTAGGAACTTTTTCAGACTGTTCATGTTCACTGTCCTCAATGTCCTCTAATGAACACAAAAAAATGCCTTTCTTCTTTTTTTTCTTGGTTACTTCACAATCCAATTCCAAATTCAAAGCAGTCTTCTTTCTGCTCTTTTTAAAAGCAAATTCATTTTCATTAGTACCATCTGCATGATGATTTGAAAGCTCCACATCACTACTCTCATTATTCCCCAATGATAAGAAGGAATGACACTGGACTTTTTTTTTCTTCTTTTTGACAGTTTTAATTTGTTCCTCTGATTCTTCTTTAGGCTCTGAATCCAGATGGCCTTCTACATTCACAAAGCTTTCTGAATGTGCTTCTTTCAGTAATTCAGAGCCAGCTTTCTTTTTCTTCTTTTTCTTCTTCTTATTCTTCAGTTCTAATTGGTCTGAATGTTCATCCTTTAATTTTTCCTTTTTCCTTACCTTTGTTTTTGTCTCCAGCTCATCATCGTCCTCAATTTTAAGGACATTTTGAACATCCTTCTCAATTTTAGTGATAGTCTGGCTCTTACTCCTTTTCACCTTTTTCTTTTTCTGTACAGGTTCCTCGTGAACTTCTTTTCTCTTTTTCTTTATCATTCTAAACAAATGAAATGGAGATGTTAGTGCACAGCTTCAACAAGTCCCAGGCTATTTGGTCTCCCTTTACTCTGAAAGCATCCCGTATTTCTCATTATCACTCTTTTTCCGGTTTCACAATCTGCTTTCTGTGATAGAGGGAACCAGAAGCACATGCAGCACTGAAAACAGAGTGTACCCGAGTGGCCAAGAGGAGGTTTTTCATCTTGTTCTTTAGTGCTGTCCTTGCTAGTTTGTAACTTTTTATCTGTCTCTGCCAGCTGCCAAGCATGACCTTTTCACAGATTTAGCTACCCTCTAAGACATCTTTCCCAAGTGACAGAGCAGATACTATATATGTGCATATATATGTGTGTGTGTGCGTGTGTATATGTGCGTATATATGTACGGATGTGGAGTTAAGGTGGTTTTCCACATATGTATAACTTTTCACTTACAAACACTGAACTTCACATCCCTTTACTGCCCACTTGGCATTACAGGACCCTTTCAAGACACCTTAGTAATTACCTTGAATTTGCTTCTGTTTGTGATTTCTCGTCCTTGCTCTGTGTTTTGGGACACTCGTGCCTATGCACAGGTTACAGCAGACGCCTGTGGTACCCACCCGGTGACACCCCTGCCTTTGCTGACGAACCCTCGTGGTCTCCCACCCCTCAATCAATAACTCACCCACAGGGTTTCCTTAAGTGCCTCCTGCAAGGCACCTACCGCAACCCTTCAACCCCCAAGCGCACCGCGGTGACCCGCACGCC